CTGTGTGTACAGAATTCCCAGGTTTCTACATGGTTTACTTTTGTTACCAGTAGTGTCCAAGTTTTACATTTAAAAAAATTAAAGGTTTATTTTCATCTGTGCATGTGTCTGTGTGAGTGTATGCTACTTGTATGTAGGTGCCTTTGGAGGCCAGACAAGGATATCAGTTTCCCTGGAGTTGGAGTTACATCCAGGCTGTTACATGCTGCCTGTCATGGGTGGTGAGAACTGAGCTCTGGCTCTCTGGAAGAGCAGCAAACATTCTGAGCTGCTGAGCTATCCCTCCAGTATCCCACCCCCTCATTTTTACATGTATTTATTTTAGTGTGTTTGTGTGTGTGTGTGTATTGTGGGTCATGTTTGTGCTATCATGCCTGTGTAGAAATCAGAGGACAACATTTGGGAGTCTGTTCTCTCCTTTCCTCACGTGGGTTCTGGGGATGGAGCTCAGGTTATTCAGCTTGGCAACAGTACCTTTTTGTGCTGAGACATCTTGCCAGCCCCAACCACTGTTGACATTGACTAATCTCTTAACTTAGTTTTGGCCAGCATCTCTTACTGTTTTGTGGAAATTGCAGCATAGCTAGCTCATTTATAATTTGCTCATGTGCAGTCCTTCTGCATCCTATGAACATATAGCAAATCATCTGAACAAACAAAATTTCCAGTCTCAGTGAACAGCATGGCTGTTTTCTGCATTATAGATGTCTAGAAGTCTCTGGGTCAGTTTTATTTCAGCTCATTGGGCAATGAATGAAGTGCCTTATGAACAGGTCTGAATTAATCCTTTATCTATGAGATGGTGTATTTTCATTTTTCCATTTTGTGATAAAGAACCTAAGAGGAGGACTTAAGGATTAAGCCACACGAATATGTCTGTAGAGTTGCCAGCTTTCCTTCAGATGGCATCCTTTATCCTTTGTGTTACTGGCAATACTGAATCTATGCACTGATACTTTTTCTGCTTTTATGTGTTTGTATAGTCTACATATATTTTTAAGTAAGGGGATATTACAAACAGTGCAAAAAAACTTCTCAGTGAGTTAAGTTAAAGTTGGGGGCTGGTAGATACATTTCATAAAGCACCAGCTCATGCTCGAGGTTATTTGTGTCATGTGGGATGTATGTATTGAAAAAGTCGCTTTGAAAAATGCCCTTTGTTGTGTTTTAGGAAGCTTTATGTACAAAAATAAGCCTGGGGCCGATTTGGCCTTTGGTTTAGATTGCTTTGTTCATTTATTTAAATATTTCATTTCTTACATTGAGGATTATGATTTTTATTCTGTTTAATTATTCAGTGCACTATTTGGCCTAAATTATTTGGGTAAAACTACAGGTAAGGAAAGGAACTATATTGAAGAGACTTGGGCCTTTGAAAAGTACTTAAATTGCTTAGAGTTCTGAACTTTGTTTAATGGGTGGTCGAAGACATTTATGTTAAATTACTGCATGTGTACTGGCTTATCTTTTTTTTTTTTTTTTTTTTTTTTAGATAGGGTCTCTCTGTGGCTTTGGAGGCTGTGCTGGAACTAGCTCTAGTAGACCAGGCTCATCTCGAACTCACAGAGATCTGCCTGTCTCTGTCTCCTGAGTGTTGGGATTAAAGGTGTGCGCTACCACCCGCCCAGCTTTAGTTTCCTTATTCTTACCTAGTGCTGTGGCTAGGTGACATGCCAGTACACTGCACCAGTAGAACAACACTGTCTCGGGATGCCTTCCAGGGCCTCCTGTATTTTCAGATGACATTTCTCATGGAGAAATTTGGTAGAGACAGAGGTAAGCTTTCAATTCATAAAAGCCAAAAAGCAATCCCAGTCATTTGACCTGCTTGAAAGGAGATGATAATAGAAAGAATGAATTATTGTTTGGGTATCGAAAATGAGAGTATGGACATAAACTAGAGCTGAGCAGATGGACCAAAAGTTACAAAAAGAGGATGAAAAAAATTACACTTTCACGGACAAGCTTGACATGTGAGAAGATCATTACAGGATGTTAGGATAAAGTTCATCTATGGGAACCTGGAAAGACTTTTTGTGTGTGAGATGAGACGCTGATGAAATAAAACACAGTTGGCAACCATAAATAACCGTATAAAGGTACCCTTTCAACCAGTCCTAAACTTTGTATAACAGTATGTGCTTGTGGAAGAAAGAAATGTTTTCTTATATCTTGCCAAGACTACTGAGCTGAGTAACTAGCAGCTTAACAGTGTGGGTTTGTGCTGGGATGTGTAAGGCTGCATGTGCAAATTTGAAATTCATATCTACTGCAGGGACAAGTTACTGAACAACGTAGACGGCAAGACAGATTTCAGTTGAAGCTCAGCCCAAAACACTAGAAATAACTCTGACAAAGCAATGCCATGTGCATAACTCCAGAGCATTCCTGGGAATCTCTGAAAGCTTCTCTATCATGATAGTTTAAGGGACAGGCTTCTAGGAAGTTCTTCCCTCTTGGAATTTTGACTCTGGCAGTTGTGCTGTGAGATAGGCTTTTGATGGACCATGGAGTTATGTATTTTTGGTGGAATTGAAGGAAAGTAACCAAGTTGTATATTTTAAATTATCTCATAATGAATGTTCAAAAAAAATGAGTGACTTAAGTTTAAGAACTTAAATTATTTCTAAATTTTCAACTTTCATCTCTAGTTACCCTGGTTAATATGGTCCCTGAGGGAGTTCAAAACTCCTTTTTTGATGTTGTTAGTATTCAGGCATCTGTACTGGCTTGCTCTTGGCGTTCTGACAGAATATATCCTTAGCAGCAGCCACTAGGAGCACAACCTGTGCACATTCACTACATTCCCTTTTAAAAAGGCCCTGCCCACCTCCTATCTTTCTCTCCCTCTCTGTCTCTCTTTCTCTCTGTATCTCTCTCTCTACTTCTCTACTTCTCTGCCTGTCTCTCTGTCTCCTCCCTCTCTGCCTATCACATGGCATCTTTCTCTTGAGTGCCGCTTTTTAAATTACACCAGATGTAAAGCATAAACAATGTTAGTAGATCATAGTCTTTCCACTAATAGGCATAGAGTTTGGGCATCTATTCCTGGGTATTCATATTTTACCTGAGAAGTCAATGATCTATCCCACATGATTGCTGAGATGGCTATTAGTTGGGAAATTCTATAATCTTACAAAATGTTATATATTTTTCTTTCTCTTGCTGCTCCCCGAGTCAGTCTCTATCTTCTGTCAACTTTGTGTCCCCTTTCCAGTAAATTCTGTTCTATTTTAGGCTTATTGTGTGCACATATTACAATAGAAACTGTCTTTTATGAGGAGGGATAGTCACTGATGGAATGATGCAAAGGGTTTTAGATTAAATGTCATGACCAATAAGAGCAAGAAGACTTACATTCACAAATATAATTTCTTCCCACTCTTGGCATAGTCTGTTACTTAGTATTGTTTCATTAAGTTTTTTTTTTTGAATCACTGAATGTAACTCTCTACCATTTAAAGTAATAACTTTATTCAGAAGATCTGATGTTTGTGTATGTGCTGTGTATATGTGTTCATGTGGTTGTGTGCATTTAGGTACATGTAGAAGCCAGTGGTCAACATTGGATGATTTTCTCAGATATTTCCCACCTTGGTTTTGAGACAGGACCTCTCATACTCCCCACCTTATTTTTATAGACAGAGTCTTTCGGTGTACTTGGAACTCATCAGTTTAGCTAGGCTGACTGGCTCATGAGCCCCTGACCCAATGATGGTTTTCCAGATGCTTGCTGTCGTGTCCATCTTTTTTTACATGGGCACAGGGGATCCAAACGTGGGCTCTCTTACATGTACTTTATCAACTGAGCCATCTCCCAAGGTCCTATTCAAAATGTTTTTTCAAAGGTATAGTTAATGGCTTTTTTTATTATTCTGTGAATTATTCCAGAGGGCAGTAGGTACTCTCTGTAAAAGGAAAAGAGGGCTTTGTAGTTATAAGGGTAGAGAGCAGAAAGGTGAAGTGTGGGTATTTTCTGTAATCTTCTCTTGTTGCCCATCAGAGGTCTTAGTCTTAATATGAACATATAGTCTCTTTAATGAGTGAGTCCAACTCTATGGACTCTGATAACTTTCAGGTGATCATTCTGCTGATTCTTTTGGTTGTAAGTTACAGTGTAGTAAAAATAAAGGTAGTTGTTGCTTAGAATGCTTTCTTCTTCATGAGATTTGAACAAGGTGGCATGTGAAGGCCTTTTTCTCTATAGAGCAAAGAATTTAAATGACAGAAGATGGACACCTAGAAATTAGTGACCTATAAGCACCTTCAGTATTCTGATTTAGTGCAGTAAACACTAAGGCTTTGTCGTAGCATGTTTTGTTTGTTTATTTATTAATTAGTTAAAATTTTGAGACAGGGTCTTACTATGTAACCTTGACCTGCCTGGGACTTGCTATGCTAGACCAGGATAGCCTCAAACTTATAGAAATCCACCTGCCTTTGTCTCTTAGTTGCAGGATTAAAGGTGTGCACCAACAAGCTAGAGTCATTTTTTTTCTTGGTATAAGAGAATACCACAGATTGAACAATGTATAATAAAAGGAAACTTGTTTCTCACAGCTCTGGAGTTTGGTGTTAAAGATCAAGGCACTACCATGAAGCCAGGCCCTTCTAGTTTGATCATCTTGTGGCAAAAGAGAGAGAACAAAGTTTGAGCTTACCCTTGTATGAGGAGCCCATTCCCACACTAATTAACCCACTCATGTTCTAGAGGTAGGGCCCTTGTGCTTTGCACCTTTTAATCCTATTAGATGGCAGTGAAATTTCAACAGGAATTCTGGGGAGAATATTCAAATTATAATGGCCTATGAATAGATTTTCTCAGTTGTCTTCCTGTGGTGTGGCCGTGATGTCAGGGACATGTGATGTCAGGGACATGTGATGTCAGGGACAGAATGTCACTAGGAAAGTAGTGAGCCTGTTGAGAGAACACAAGAATACATTCGTTGTTGTCCACAGAATGAAACTTTACTTGTGCAATTTCTGTGCATTCTTTCCAGAATTTGTGAGAAGTTTCCATGATGGTCTGTTCAGCCTTCATCAGAGCTGCCCATGAACACACCTTCCTAGTAAGGAACATCAGCCATGTCTTCAGATGCCATCAGCATCAGGCCTGGGGCTCAAGGCCAGCTGCATCACAATTTGCTGCCCAAGGTGCTCCAGGCAGTGTGGTGGAGCTGCTGGGAAAATCCTACCCTCAGGATGACCACACCAACCTCACCCCGAAGGTCCTTTCCAAGGTGGGCAGGAACCTGCACAACCAGAAGTACCACCCTCTGTGGCTGATCAAGGAGCGGGTGAAGGAGCACTTCTACCGGCAGTACATGGGCCGACCCAGGACCCCTCTGTTCTCCGTCTATGACCAGCTTCCGCCAGTGGTCACTACATGGCAGAACTTTGATAGCCTGCTAATCCCAGCGGACCACCCCAGCAGGAAGAAGGGGGACAACTATTACTTGAATCGGGTGCACATGCTGAGAGCACACACATCAGCACACCAGTGGGACTTGCTGCATGCAGGACTTAATGCCTTCCTCGTGGTGGGTGATGTGTATCGTCGTGACCAGATTGATTCCCAGCACTACCCAGTTTTCCACCAGCTGGAGGGTGTCCGGCTCTTCTCCAAGCATGAGGTGAGTCTTTAGCTGTGTCTCCTTGTTGAAGACATTTGTATTGATGTCCCTGAAGACTGCTGGCCACTGAAACTCGGAGAGTTGTCCTCCGTCTTCATTTCCTTTACAGACACATCTGTTTTTTGTGACGTCTTTCCTGTACGCTGGCATTTACAGTATGTCTCATGGGTTGTCTCGCACCACTGCCAATGGTAAACTCCAAAACAAATTTTCTTTTTTACTTGTCTTTCCTCATCCCATTTTCTCAGTACTGGCCTCCCCTTTTTAAACTTTCTTTTTCTTTATTATTTTTATTTAAATTAAAAACAATCTTATTTTACATACCAATCCCAGTTCCCTCTCCTTCCCTTCTTTCCATTTCCCCCACCATCTACCCATCACACCCTACCTACATCCACTCCTCAGAGAGGGTGAGGCCTCCCATGGGGGATCATCGAAGTCTGTCACATCATTTGGGGGCAGGACCGAGATAGGCTGAGAGAGTGTCCCTCCATCGGGAAGGGTCTCCAAAAGCCTGTTGATGCACTAGGGATAAATACTGGTTCTACTGTCAGTGGCCCCATTAAAGTGCTCAGGCCCCCAATTCACACCCACACTCAGGGGCCTGGTTCAGTCTTACGAAGATTCTCTAGCTGTCGCTCCCTCTTCCTCAGGTCAGCTGTTTCTGTGGGTTTCCCCAGCATGGCCCTGGCCCCTTTGCTCATCATTCCTCCCTCTCTCCAACTGGATTCCAGTTGAAGTTTTGATTCTCAATCTCTATTCTTTACCTGAGAAAAGTGTTTTTCCTTGTTTTTGTTTATTTCTCTATGACTAAGACTTTAATGTCTGTTAACAATTTTGGCAGAGTAATTAACAGGTAAGTCTGCAGAAGCTGTGATCCTGAGAAAGGACACAAAGAAACACTGAGTAACCCACACTTAGTTGAAGTGAAGATTGGCATTTAATCTGTGCCTTTGGCATCAATGGAGGGAGAAAAGAAAAAATGCAGAAAAAGAAGTAATGGAGAAAAAGATTGAAGTTCAATAGAAGTCAGGATTAAAAGAAAGAAAGCCCAAATTATCAGTTTAGTATTAGTTCTAATGTATGAATATTCCCATGCTAATATTGGTAGGTGAAGAAATGTGTGATCAGTCAGGTTGGATGTTCAGAGAACCTGAAACAGAACTGCCCCAGAGGGTGGGGTGAGGGACAGGAAGGTTTGCCCAGCAGATGCTTCCCCAAAGGTGTCAGATGTGGCAGTATTAATATTAGAAAGAGAATTTATAGAAGAAAAGACAAATTGGATGAAGCCTGAAATAGGTAATCTAAGAAGCCTTCTGAATTATGAACTTTCTTCTGCAACTCTTCATAATTTTGATACATGAAGCAACACTGGTGATTTAAAGGTCGAGTTTGAAAAATTCATGGCCATGGTCAGAGATGTGAAATGATTTCTTTCAGTCAGAGACCTGTGGATTATCTAGACAAAACGAATAAAGGTAGAGAAGTCAGAAAATTTTATCAACAAACAATATATCTTTATAAATTCTGTGTTTTATCTCTATTTACAGGTTATTTACAGTTAATGAAATCAGTATTTGTTTTTAAAATATTACAAGTATGCCACATTGTTCTAAAAAAAATAGGTCAATGGGTGCACAGTTCTGGATATCCGCTAGTCTTTGCAGAAAACTGGGCCCAGAACAGCAAAACTAAAATCTACACAATCCAGACTTAACTAGATGACAGGGTTCCCCTAAGAGCATCCTTGTGTAGGAAGTCATTTGTGACAGCTGAAAGTTCTGAACTGTGTTAGAGAATGAGTTTAAAGAAGAATACAGTAGTGCCTGGAAAAAGTGACCTTCCTAAAGAACTGCTCAGAGAGCAATCCTTGCATTACCAAATGCTCGTGGCACTTTGACATGATGTACTCATAACATTGGTAAGACTAAACATCAGTGATTCCCACCATCACAGGAAGAGAATCAGTCAGGCTCAGGAGGGAGCTTGGGGTGTAAAGTGTTTGTCTTGCCAGTATGAGGTCCTGAGTTCTATCCCTAATACCAGTTACATCATCTTTTTACAAAAGCTAGAAGTGCAAGCATGCACTTGAAATCTCAGTGCCGCTGAGGCAGAGGTGGCAGGATCCCTGGGCCTCAGATGATAAGCCCTAGGTCAGTGGGAGATGGTCTGAATAAACAAGGTGAATGGTACCTGAGAAATGACATTCTGGGTTAATCTCTTGCCTCAAAGTGCATGCACACTGGCAGACACTTGCGTACTCTTTGCACACCCAAAGGAGATGCCTATCAGAGGTTTGTCTCTTGATGGGGGAGTGGCACGACTCTGACTATAAAGACTTGCCATGGCAGTTGGATTGGAACACAGTCAAGCTCTGGCTCCATCTATCATATTATAGGAACTATAAAGAGGAGAGGAGCAGATGAGGGTATGCCACAGAGACGTGGTATTCCAAATGCTGACCATGGGGAATGGCAGCAAGACTGCTCAGACTGTGACCTGCAGAATGAAGTTGAAGGAAACCAAAGCAAGCACTTGAAAATGTTTAAGCAGTGGGAGGTGTTGGAGAGTTGAGGTTATCATTTTCTACCATGTTGTTAGTGGACATCTTTTGTTGGAGAGAGTGTGGAGGGCTTCATGTGCTCTTATGTGCTTCCTGTGCGTTCTGTGTGTGGAGCTGTGTGCAGTAGGCCCATGGCTCTGTTCATAACCCACTGGAAATCTAAAACTATCCCTTTGGTTTAGTTTGGGAAGTGTCACTCAATTGAATGAATGACAGTTCAAGCAAATGGCAAGAAACACAAAAATATTAGGAAATGGAACTTAGGGATGAGGGCAGGATTGGCTTGTCTGATCCTAATGTGTGGAGCTTACCAAGGCAAAATATTTTTTTTTCTTAACAGAAAAAGGGAAACATTGTTTAATGTGGTTGGAAATTTGAATACTAATGAAACTCCTGAAAGTAAGCTCTTTTTATTTTTAAAATGTGATGAGAATGTAAGCTTTTTTTGCAAAGTCTTTATTTTAGAGATGCATATTGAAACACTAGCATGGAAAATGCAGGGTTTGAGATTTTCTTCATAATGATGTTAGAGGGGGCTTTGGCATTTTATGGTGGATGTAAGAGGATTGGTGTAAATGTAATTTTCTTGTGTATTGTTTGCATGCAGAGTTATCTTTTTTTGTGTGTTTACATGTGTTTAAGAGTTATCTCTTATAAAATGAAAACACAGAAATCTTTGAGACCAGTCAGTCAAAGTGACATTGGCTCAGTGTGTTCTGTAAGGTGACCCTTCTTTCATGGGAACACAGACACCAATTCATTTTAAAGTTAGGACACATTAAAGAAAAGTGGATAAATGACAGACAATAGAAACCTGAAAGACATTAAATCTGGAGTTGATAGCGTCTTCATTTTCCGTATGTTTTTACCAAACTATTTGCATGTAAATTGTTTTATAAAGGAGAAAAAAAGCTATCCATCAAGTTCATCTTATGAGGTCATACCTGTTTATATTCATGCTAAATTAAAAGGAAACTTTGGAAATTTAACTTTATGGAGAGCAGTCATTCTGTTTTAATTAACAGACAAACATTTATTGAATGAAATATTTACAAATTCAATTCAATATTCTCCCATTCCATATTGTATTTTACCGTTTTAACACATACAAAGAGAAAAAGCATCTGATTATCTTAATGGATGTAGAAAATAATTTGATATTTATTTATCTCATAGTATTAAAAATACATTTAATGATTCATGGTAAAAACTTCAGCAAACTAAGACTATAAAGGAACTTCCTGAACTTTGCAGATGATATGTCAGTCACTTTCAGCCCTGCCGTAACTAATGATGAATCATTATGCATGTTGCTATCAAAATCAGCCTCTATTCAGAGTCACTTGCTTCCCTGATTCTACTCATTATTGAATTCCAAAGCCTCCTCAAAATGGAAAGAAAGAGAACCCAAAGGCTGGAGACATGGCTCAGTGGTTAAAAGTGTATACTGTTCCCATCACCTGTGTCAAGCAGCTTACAACTACCCTCCAGCTTCAGGGGCATCCAATGCCTGTGGCCTCCTCATGCACTTGTACTCAAATAAATGTACATACCTATACACAGATCCATCCTTGTGTGTGTGTGTGTGTGTGTGTGTCTGTCTGTCTGTCTGTGTGTCTGTGTGTCTGTGTGTGTGTAAGAAAAGAAGGTAGAAACGATGGATAATAGGAGCTCAAGCTGTTTTCTTTCATATGACACAAATGCATATCAAAAATTTAATAGAATTTCCAGACTTACTCGGACTAGGAATCAGTTCAACAAGGGTATTGGGCACAAGGAAAATGTAGAAACATTAATATTTCTTATCATAAGCAATAACAAATGGAAAATGTAATATCATAAAGATTCCATTCACATTGCCACTTGAAACTTTGAAGTCCTGTCATAACTACTACATAAACTACTCAAAATAGTTAAGAATAAAATGGTTAAATGCCATTAAATATATAATAAAAGGAGAAAAAAAAGATATGCCATATATACGTAGTTTTGTACGTAAAAAACAATGCCATGAAGATGGTAATTCTTCTGCCTCATGGAAATCTGACAATGTCTACTGGGAATTGGAAAAGAGGACTGGTTGTAAAATTCAAGGCACAGTGTTAAGTAAAAAGGGTTCTCTTTACTACATATTAAGACATGCAATTTATAGTTGTAAAAATGGTTTAGTATCCTTGGCCATCAGAGAAATGCAACTCAAAACAACTCTGAGATACCACCTCACACCTGTCAGAATGGCTAAAATCAAAAATACCAATGACAATCTATGCTGGAGAGGATGTGGAGAAAAAGGAACACTCCTCCATTGCTGGTGGGATTGCAAACTTGTAAGACCACTTTGGAAATCAGTATGGTGGTTGCTCAGAAAAGTGGGAATCAGTCTACCTCAAGATCCAGCCATTCCTCTCTTGGG